ATGGCGGCAGGGCCTGGAGGAGGAGAGCAGCTCAGGACAGGGCTCCAAGAGAGAGCTCTGCTCACCAGGGACAGGACAGAGACCCCCAAGGCACAGCCCAGGGACCCCTCCTCCATCCACACCCCACGTGCTGCAGTCACCACCCAGTGAGTCCATCCAAGTGGATTAATCCACTATTAGTTTGCACCAGGGAGCAGAGAGAGCTCTGTTCACCAGGGACAGGACAGAGACCCCCAAGGCACAGCCCAGGGACCCCTCCTCCAGCCGCACCCACCTGCTGCATTCTCCACCCAGTGAGTCTATTTAAGTGGATTAATCCACTATGAGTCTACATCTCTCATAACCCAATCATTCCACCTCTGAACCTTCTTGCACCATCTCCCACATGAGTTTTGGGGGGACACCTCACATGCAAACCAACGCGGGGCACAAATGACAAAGCAAAAAAAAAATTAAAAATTCAATCTCGGTCCCACCCACTCCAACCCAGCATCAGAGAGGCCGGGAAAAGCGTCTCCACTTATGAAATGCACAGGAAAACCGCTCGGGGAACTAGGGCCTTCTCAACAGCGTGTGCAGGACGGGTTGACTGAACATCTGCCAGGAAATATTGGAAGACAGAGGACCCGCCAGGGTGACCCTCACCTCTGCCTGGGACATAATGGCCAGTCCTCAAAGGGTCAAGTGTTAGGTCTCCCAGGGGTGGCGTTGGGGACAGGTAGGTAGCAAGACTTTGAAGAGGTGTGGCCTAGCAGGAGGTGGCAGGTCATTGAGCAGGATTAGGTTCACGTGAGTTTGAAATAAATATAGGAAAAAAAAAAAAAAACAGAAGAAACCTGTTTTCTTTATAAGTAGCCAGCCTCGGGTATTTTGTTATAGCAATGAAAAAAAAGAAACTCATGCACCTATTACCAATCCATTGACATGCTAAAGAATATCTGTGCATGAGGGCTGGGGACAGAGCTCAGGTGGCAGAGGGCTTGCCTGGCATGCACAAAGCCCTGGCTTCAATCCCCAGCACCACCAAGAAAAAAAAAATTGTGCACAAGCCCCTCTTTGTGACCTCTATCTGTGTCCAATGTCCCCGGAAAAGCCAGGCTCAAATCCCTTGAAGGCGACTGCATTTTACCTTGGAGCAGTCGTGAAATGTGCGAGAGCTTCTTCGTGTCTAGCAGCAGCTAAGAGCTTGGGAGAGGGGGCCATTAGGTCGGGCATACCTTTCCACTGAGGCCGATGGGTTCCAAAGCATCAATTAAGTCAAATAACCCCTTGCACACCCACACGCGTGCACCCACACCTAAGCCATGATTTACAGTCGCGTGGGTGGCTCCTGGGAGCCGGCCCTTCCCCTCCTGGGCAGCAACCACAGAGCCTCTTATTGTCACCTCGTGTTCTTGGTTTATGTGCATTAACCTCCTGGGACAAGGGCGGAGGCCAGGCTGCAGTGCGGCCTCCCTCGGGGGCCTCCGTCTCCCATAGGAGAACAGCGCATTGAAGGCAGGTTGCCTTTCAGAAGACCAATGGGGGGACCCTCCCTGGAACCTCCCGTGTCTGTCCAAGTGCACACAGCGGTGGGCGGAAGGAAGCTGCAGGTGTTTAAGATGCCGGCAGCTGGCCTTCAGTGCGGAGATCTCCTGTGTGACCAGGGACGGAGACAGAGCAATGGGTGGCCTCCTGCCCTGGGTCCCTGGTTTAAGACTGGATGCTCTTGGACCCTCGTGGTGCAAGCGATGGAAAGACCAACCCCCCATGCATGTCCAGACCACCGCTGTCCACCCCAGAGAACGAGCCTCGCCCACCCTGGACCTCGGGCCTCCAGCCTCCAAGAATGTTAGAGAAAACCTCTCCTCTCTTGTCTGTTCCAAGCGCCCTGGGGGAGGAACAGCGGGGCGGGTGCGTTCCTTCCTGCAAGGACCCCCACTCACAACCTGGGGACCCACGGTCCCTCACCACCACCCCAGATGGCCATCTCTGTCCTTTATCCATCGTCACCAGCCAAACCAGGGCCTCCAAAGGGGTTCTAGAAGCTCACAAAGGACCAGGAACGCGGGGGTCCCTTTGAAGCCTCAGAGAAATGCACCCTCTCGGGTGCCACCTGCCCTTCCAATGATACTCGCGGGAGCTCCTGGATCAAACCCTACCTGAAGCTAACATTATGCCTGAGCATCTCAAAAAACCCTCCCACAATACACTTGTTTTTTTTTCCTTAAGCTGGGGTCCAGGTTTGCACAGTCCCCATGCACGGGACTCTAACGTCACCCAAGGCTGAGCACATCAGCCCCAGTTGCTCTTCCACCCGGTCCTCTGAGGTGCAGGATCCCCAGGGTCACGTCCCCCCTGTCCTCCTCAGCTCCACGTGAGATCAAGGTTCCCAGTTCCTCTTCCAGTGGCTGCCACAGTCCCGCCCCCTCTGATGTGCTGTCACCCGGGTCCCCATGTGACCCTATTACCCGTCCCTCCCCTATAATGTGGTGACCCTCGGCAGAACCTCCTGACTCCCTGCTCATGCCCAGGGCTCACTGGGTGCTACCCCATGGGACAGGAAGTGCAGGAAGCCACAGGCTGGTGCACAACTGTCATCCCAGCAGCTGGGGAGGCTGAGGCAGGAGGATCGCGAGGTCAAAGCCAGCCTCCACCAAAGGGAGGCTGTAAGCAACTCAGGGAGACCCTGTCTCTAAATAACAAAATAGGGCTGGGACCGGGGCTCAGGGGTCGAGGGACCCTGAGTTCAATCCCTGGTACCCCCCAAATTTTTTTAAAAAATCCCCCCCAACCCACTCCCCATACAGAGAGCCATAATGTGAGAAATCAAGGGACCTGATTGAGCGCTGCCCACCAGATCCAGCCTGTCACCGAGGTTCCCTGCAGGGATGGGTGTGGCTCAGGGGTGGACAACTGGCCCAGCCTGGGGACAGCACCGGTTTCCATCCCCAGGAGGGAGACAATCAATAAATAAGAGCTCGGGGGGAAACTCAGAGAAAATTCCCCAGGTCCTCCCCAAGAAAGCGAAAGGGCTTGGGTCGAGGTGGGAATGCATCTCAAGAAAACCAGGGCGTGGCCGGCGCTTCCTCCGGGTGGGGAAGTCCACCGCTGAGGCCCTCCGCAGGGCACCTCGTCCCCAGGAATGTCCTCCTGGGGGCCTCTCTAGTCAGCATCCACTATGGACGGGTCCACCCTGGAGCCCACAGAGAGCCTGGTCCCATCCCCATGGGTGGCCCGAGCTCCCTGTCCCCATTTGGGGGAAGGAAGTGTCTAGTCCTGGGGATTTCAGGATGCGTCCGGCGGAGCCTGGGCCTGGGGACAGACTGCCCACCTGACTTCCAAGGCTGGGGTTCAGGAGGCACAAAGAGGAGGCCATCGAGGTTGGAGCGGATCCAAGAGGGCGCCCCATGGCTCAGCCACTTGAGATGCCAGCGGTCGCGGTGGGTGCCTCAGCAGATCCCACCTGGAGCTTGACCCTGGACTTCACCCTCCAGAGCTATGAGCAGGAGCTGTCAATCAATGCAGGTGCCTGGTCTCCGTTAGTCTGTTACAGGGATGGGGTGACTCAAGCCTGGACACAGGGAACGTGTTCCTCGCGGGGACTGTGGTGGCCGCACGAGGTCCTCGTGACGCGCATCTTTCGCATAAGCAAATGGGGAGAGAGGGACATTGGCCGGTGAGCGAGCGAGCGTGGTGGGGCTCAGGAGGCTGAGGCTGGAGGATCTGCGAGCTGGGAGGCCGGCCTCAGCAGCTCAGCCAAGCCCTAAGCAACGGAGTGAGACCCTGTTTCCAAACAAAAAAAATATAAATGTGAGCTGGGGAGGTGGCTCAGTGGGTAAGCAGCCCTGGGTTCCATCCCTAGAATGGAAAAAAAAAAAAAGAGGAAAGACAAAGAAAAAAAACAGAGAAAAAGGAATGTGAAGAAAAATGGAATTTGGGCCTCGGAACTCACAGGAGAAGGGACTCCAGAGCAAATGAGCACTGACTTGACGGCCCTGAGATGTGCCCCACAATCTCGGGGTCCTCACGGGGGTCAAAGGGAAAGAGGAGACCCTCAAGGAGGTCAAGATGCTCTCGCTGGTGACGAAGAGCGTCGTCACCCACAAGAGGGACCGGGGGACACGGTGCAAACCCAGCACACCTGTGGGTGACAGGGATCTCAGGGATCCCGCCCAACGCACCCCGGAGTTCTCAGCTAGCTCCTTGCAAAGTCATTCTGGAAGGTTCCGAGGGACGGGGTCTGGGATGAGGAAAGAATGTTTCAGTGTGGGGTGGGTTTTGCTGGGGGCCTGTTCCTTCCGCCTGCCCAACACCTGGAACACGGTGATCCTAGGTCCACCAGGAACACCGGATCGTCCTTCTTTGTGGACAAACACAAACACCTGCAGCAAAAATCAGCTTCGCAACTCCTGCCCAGCCCCGTCGGTCCCTAGGGGTAGTCCCCAGAGGCAGCCACGCTCTGTTTGTAAGGATGACACACTCACTAGCAGGGCCACCTGGAGCCACCCGTGATGTCAAACACGGTGGCTGCACACACCAAATCCGGCACCTCTGGGGACCTCGCCTGCAGACCCCCCAGCCTTTCCCCAACTGACCCTGCCTGCAAGTGCACCGTGTGACAGGGACAGGGTGCCGTTCCCATTGTTGCCCTGGGTGCGCGGCCACCACTGTTGGATCAGAGCTGGGGCAGCCCCGCCCCGCCCTTCTCTCCGCCAGCA